CTCAGTTTCCATGAGTTAATCCCACTAGGTCTGTCATCCAACAGGCAGCCCTTCAAGGGAGCAAGCCTGGAAAAGCTGTCTCTACTCAGCTTCCTGGCACAGAGCGATGTTCCAGGTGCCCTGCTTCCAGGAACAGACTCCAGACACCACCCATTGGCTCTCCCTCCTCCAGAGCCCTGTGCTGACCCTTTGATGGCCTGCCCATGCTGTTAGATCTTCCTGCACCATGCAACAAGGGGCCTGATAGGGACACATCAGGGTACTGATGTCTTAACCAGGCACTGTTGAAACATTAGCATCTGGTCAGTCACTCCAGGGTGCTTCCAAGGAGGGTCATTGACTCCAGCCTTCCCGTGACCCCTCTGCCCTCAATAGACTTCCCAAGAACAGAGAGAAAAGGGAACTTCCTGGGCTGCAGAGGCCTCCGGGGGTTCCCACCCCATTTTTAGCTGAAAGCACTGAGGCAAAGCTCCTTACCTCCGCAGCCCTCCTCTCTGCATGTAAAAATAACAGCAATGGTTTCTAACAATCGCTTTCTCTCTGGGAGTGGCCCCAGGGCAGGAGTCTTCCGAGTATCCCTGGAGCCTGGGGACAAACACAGCCAGTTGGGAGGCCACACCTCAAGTATCTTGACAGCCCTGGGAACCCTGACAGAGTGGCTGAAGCAAGCGAGTGGTGGTGAGGACCAGACAACCTGTGGCAGCTGGGGAAGGAGCATACATCTAGGTGGTCCCCTTCCCTCATGTGGACAGCACCTCTGGGTCACTGGGAGTGACCTTCCATCATCTATTCCCTGTATCGGGACATGGGGTATCAAGGAGGCAGGAGATTGCCTGATGCCAACCTGGAGTGGCCAAGGGGACAAGACCTCGGGCGGGACAGGGGAGATAATTGAGGATGGCTCTGAGGTCTCATGGGACCCAAGCCAGGCTGGGGAAGGGTAGGGGAGGCCTGTCATCTACAGGCTGGGGCTGGGGCCTGCCTTCCCAGTTCCTGGAGGGATGTGCAGCACCAGGGAGCTGTCCTTGTGCTGAACTGCATGATGGAAGCAGGCTTGAGCTACAGCTTCTTACCTAATGCTTTTGTAATGGGCCAAAGTGGGCTATGTTGAGTTTGACTGCTTTGCCTAAGAACAGGATGGCCTGGATCCAGCTAGGTAGGACTGGGATGGATGGGTTCAGCATGGGTACCAGAGTGCATTATGCTGTATGAACATCGATATACTGTCATGGGCTCAGGTGGATCAAAGTGGGCACTCTGGGTAGTCCTCAGTCATTCCTGGCTGAGCTAGGCTAGGATATGCAGACTCCGCCTGGTTTGAATAAGCTAGGGTTAGGTGGCGTTAAAGGAGCTATTGTCGATTGGGCTGGGCTAGACTAAACTGGGATGTCCCAAACAATGCTTAATTGAGCTTGAACTGAGCTGAAGAAGATAGATTTCCCTATGGTGGGTAGGCTGTCTGGTCTAGTTAGGCAAAGTAATTGAAACTGATCTAATAAGAGTTACCTGAGACTTGGCTGAAATGTTCAGGTTATGCTAAAACAGGCTGGCCTAAATTAATCTGAGGGGAACTGGACAGAGGAAGCTAGATACAATTGGACAGGGCTAGATGTGGATTATCTTAGTCTACCTAATCAGACTGGACTACATTGGTTCATTTGTGGCCTTGCTGTATTGAACTGGGTTTGACTGGTTGTCCTGGGCAGGTTGGGTTGGGCTGGGCTGGGTTGTATTGGGCTGGGATAGGCTGATCAGCTGGGCTGGGCTATGTTTGTCTTACCTAGGGTTAAACTGAACTGGGCTAGCAAGCTTGGCTGAGGAGGCCTGTTCTAGCCTGAGCTGGACTGGGCTGGACTAAGCTAGCCTTATCTGGGCATGGCTGGACTAATGTGAACTGGACTGGTTTGCCTGATTTGGGATAAGCTAGGCTGATACGGCTTGGGTACCTGGGCTGGGATATGCTAGCCTTGACTAGGCTAAATTGAACTGTCCTGGACTGGGGTGGCTGAAGTAGACTGAGGTGGACTGGATTGGGCTGGGGTGGGCTAGGCTGAGGTACTCTGTGTTGGGCTGTGTTGAACTTTGCTGGGCTATTGAAAAGACACTAATTGGGTTAGATTGGATTGCCTGGGCTGAACTGGGATAGTATGGCCTGGGCTGGGCTGGCATGGTCTTACTGGGTTGAGCTGAGCTAGGCTAGGCTGAGCTGACTCAGCTCTGCTAGCTTAATCTGGCCTCAGCTTGCCTGAGATGACCTGCCTATCCTGATTTGGTTGAACTGTGCTAGTCTGGCCTGGAATGGCCTAGCATAAACTGAACTCTGATCATGTGAACAGAAGTGAACGAAACTTATCTAAACTGAACTTCCTCATAGTGGGCTGACCTAGGCTGGCCAGATTGGGCTGGACTAGACTGATCCATTCTGCATTCAATAGATTGGACCAAACAAGGAAGAGTTAGGCTGAGCTCTGCTGAGCTGAGCAACGCTGGTTGAGCTCTACACAATTGGGCTAGACTGGTCTGGAATGACTGACTTAGTTTGGTTGGGCAAGTCTGATCTGGTTTGGGCTGAATTGGACTGGTATGGATTTGAATCACTGATAGGAGCCAAGCTGAGTGTTGCCTGCCTTGGCTTGGGTAGTGTGAGCTGAGATGGGATCAACTAACCTTGATTAGAAAAAACTGCACGGAGGTAGCCTGGGTTGGGCTGGGCTAGACTGAGGTGAACTTGACTGGTTTGCCTGTGCTGCACTAAACCGGGTTGAGCTGAGCTGTACTGAGTTGAAGTCGGCAGTGCTGACTGGACTGAGATGGCTGGGTTAGCTGGGCTGGGATATGCTAATCTGGGCTAGATTACACTGGACTGGACTGGGCTGGGCTAGCTGGACTAACTGGGATGAGGTGGGCTGGGCTAATGTTGAGCTCTGCTGTGTTGGGCTAGGATAGGATGTGCTGGACTGGCCTGAAAATATATGAGCTGAGCTAAACGCCCCTGAGTTAAGCTGGATTGACCTAGGATAGGCTGAGTAAGGATGTGCCCGCAGGGCTGGGCTGGGTTGGTCTAGCCTAGACTGAACTGAGCTGGGCTCAGCTGCACTGGAGTAACATGGAATGGCCTGGGGTCTCCTGGACTGAGTTGGATGGGGCTTGGTTAGGAAGGGCTAGATGGACTGGGCTGAACTTGGATGGGTCTGATGGGATGGGAAGGCTAGGACTGAGCTGAGCTAGTTTCATTTGAACTGAAGTGAGTTAGACTTGGCAGGACTGGGCTAGGCTAGGCTAGACTGTGTTAGTGGAATTGAAGACAGCTGGACTGGCCTGGGTTGGCTTGCTCAGTGGGCTAGTTGGGATAGGCTTAGCTGACTCAGGCAGGCTAGCCTGGCCTAGCTTAAGCTGATCTAGGCTGTTCTGACTGGTCTTGTTTGCTTGGGCTGCACTAGTCTAACTGAGCCAGGCAAGACAGTCTGGCCTGTGTTGAGCTGCACTCAGATGAAGTGACATGAACTGAGCTAACCCAAACTGACTTGACTTGGGCTGGAATGCACTGGACTGGCCAGATTGGACTGGTCTGGGCCGACCTGGTCAGAGCTGAACCAGACTAGCGAGAACAAGGCTGGGTTAGGCTGAGTTCTGCTGGGCTGAGCTGGGCTCAGTTGGGTTGAATTGGCCTGGGCTGATCTGTACCAGCTAACCTGTACTCAACTGGCCTGGCCTGGCCCAGACTGGGCTAGCCTGAGATGGATGCCAGACTTGGTTTAGTCAAGCTAATCTGATCAGGTCTGGCCTGAGCTTGCCAACTCTGATCTGGATTTGAGTTGGGTGGGGCAGGGCTGATCTGGGTTTGGCTTGGTTTGAGTGGCCTAGACTGGCCTAGCCTAGGCTGGGCTGGGCTGGGCTGGGTTGGGTTTGATGCTGATATGAGCTGGGCCAGCCTGAGATGAACCAAGCTGCACTGGGCTGGTTTGCCTGAGCTGGGATAGGCAAGGCTGGGTAGGACATCCAGGTGGGGTATGCTGATTTGAGCTGGATTGAAGTTGGGTTGGCTGGGCTGAGCTGACTGCGCTGGGATTAGCTAGGATAATCTGGGCTGGGCTAGGTGGGGCTAAACTGCTTGAACTAAATTGGACTGGATGAGGCTGGGCTAAGCTCTGCTTGGACAGAATATGCATCTATTTGACTTGGTTGGACTGGGCCGCGCTGGGTTGAATGAAGGCAGCTACTATCAAGCAAGACTGAGCTGAACTGAATTAGACTTAGCTGGTCTATGTGGGTTGACTTGGGCTGGACTGTGGGGAGCAAAACTCATCTGGATTGGTTTGTCACTTTTCAGTTCTGATGATTTTAAAGCGAGGTCATCGGGCTCTGCTTAACTGGATTTCATGCACAGAGTCAGGCTAACCTGAGCTTGGCTCAGCTGAAATGTATTGGGCTAAACTGAATTGTTCTGGGCTAATTTGGGCTAAACTGAACTGGCCTGGGCTGACCAGGCTAAGCAGAGGGTGTACAAGGCTGAGGGGAGTGGTGAGAGTGGCACTGTATTTTTTAACTTTCCACCACGTTCAGTGCAGAGCTGTGCTGGCAACCCTGGGTAGGTTAGGGCAGCACATCTTGGACTCTAAGGAAGATCGGGGGCAGGTATGGGTGTCAACCAACGTGGTGTTTGGAGGAAGAGATTTATGGGAGGAGTCATAGGGTCTTTATCCTTTCTCCATGGGTGTCAGGGCCAGTTTTCCCCTTCCAGAGAGATGAGTAGTTGAGGTACTGGTGGAGGCCAAGAGGGAGGGGAGAGCACCTGGAGGCCCGGCCAGTCAGGTGAGTGTGAGATGAAGGAGCAAACCAAGGCAGAGTGATCTGGATGCTAAAAAGCTGAGCCCAAGGTTCTCAGTAAGCAGCGAGTCAGAGTGGACACAGCAATAGGGCTGCCCACAATGAGTTTTACAAGGACATTGAGGTGATTCTTGGGAGGGGGGACTCTGATCCATACTCCCTAAAGAGGACCCATGGGTCGTGGTCAAAGGGCCAGTCTGGGGTCTACAGGTGAGCAGAGCTTGGGGATTCCTAGTGAGGGCATGGGAGCTTCTGGGTTTCCAGGGTGTGATGATTGTCTGTGAGACAGCATGGCTATTCCTGGAGAGAGTGGCCTCTGAAGTCCAATGATCCTAAGCCTTTGTGAATGGGTCACCCCTCTCTTCCTCAAGGAGAAGCCTCCCAGGGTCCAGTCACTTAGGGCCAAGGGTGGTATCCCATGAAGGTAGTGACAAATCAGTAGTTTCTGATTGGGATGGAGGGAATCCAGTCATCAGATGCCCTGTGCCTGGGCTTGTGGGGAAAGATGTGGCATCAGACAGTTGGGAAAGGTCCACACTCTTGTGCCCCAAGCCCTCCCCTCACCCAACACACAGGCCCTGGGAACAGTTAGCTTGGCCCTTGGGAGATGATTGTTCCAACCAGTGCTGACCCTTGACTCTGTCCCCACAGCCTCCATCCAGGGACCCTCTGTCTTCCCTTTGGCAACATGCTGTGGTGACAAAACTCTCCAAACCCTGGGCTGCTTGGTTACCGGCTTCCTCCCAGAACCAGTGGACATAACCTGGAACACAGGCTCCCTGAATAGAACTGTGGTGGTCTTCCCCTCCACCTTCCACAAGGCCTCCAGTCACTACAGTACCGTGAGTCTGGTGACCGTATCGGGGGAGCTCGCCAAGGAGAAGGTCACTTGCAGTGTGGAGCACAAACCATCCAATTCCAGCATCCACAAGAACGTCACAGGTGAGTACGGCTCTGCGGTAGCCACAATAGCAAGAGGGACAACAGTTAAAGAGGCAGAGCTCTCAGTAACTGACATGCTGAGAAGGAGTCTCCTCCCACGCTTGTCCCCACAAAGGGACTTGACTTGGGGAATGGTGGGTATCAAGGTCAGGGAGGTTAGCAAGACTCCTGCTAAAGTTGGCTGACAGCTTTAGATCCACTGGCCACCCACAGTCCTGCCCTCCATTCACACTCAACTCTCTCACCCACAGTATGTGCCACTTCACCCTCCGTGAAGCTCTTCCACACGGCCTGCCACCCTGGGGGTGACTCCCAGTCCACCATCCATCTGTTGTGCCTCATCACCGGTTTCACCCCGGGGGACATTAAGGTCAGTTGGCTGGTGAATGGGGAGGAGGCCCAGGACCTCTACCCAAACACTGCCAAGCCCAAGATGGAGGGCAAGCTGGCCTCCACCTACAGTGAGCTCAACATCACCCAGGACCAATGGTTGCATGAGAAGACCTACACCTGCCGTGCCACCATCCATGGCACATCCTATCACGCCAGTGCCCGGAGATGCATAGGTATGGCTCTGCCCTGTCTGAGGGGGGTTCAGGGTCTCATACATGCCTCCATAACATCACCCTGCCTATTCACAGATTCAGAAGCCCGGGGAGTGAGCGTCTACCTCCTCCCACCCAGCCCCATTGACCTGTACATCAACAATTCGACGAAGCTCATCTGCTTGGTGATTGACTTGGCCAGTAAAAAGGACTTGCGTGTGACCTGGTCCTGGGACAGGAAGAAGTCTTTGAATATTAGCCGACTAGTTTTCAAGGACCAACTAAATGCAACAACCACTGCCATGTCCACGCTGCCTGTGGACTCCAAGGACTGGATCCAGGGCGAGACTTACCGCTGCACGGTGTCCCATCCTGACCTGCCCAGGGAAATAGAGCAGTCAATTACCAAGGTCCAGGGTAAGTCTATGGGTGCCAAGGGTGGAGCCAGGGCCCTCGGATTGGTGGCCCTAGTGACTCCAGGTGTTCCCTCACAGGCAAGCGTTTGCCCCCCGAGCTCTTCTTGTCCAAGACACTCAATCAGGAAGATGAAGGCAAGATAACCCTGACCTGTCTAGCCCAGAACTTCTTCCCTGCCGACATCACAGTGCAGTGGCTGAGAAACCAGGCACTCGTGCAGCCAGACCAGGGCCACTTCCACACCACGGGGCCCTACCCGACCAGCAGCTCTCGCCGTGCCTTCTTCACCTTCAGCCTCCTGGAGGTCAAGAAGTCTGCCTGGGAGAACAACAAGTTCACCTGCCGCGTGGTCCACGAGGCCCTGTTGAATGGGAGGATTCTTGAGAAATCGATATCGAAAGATTCCGGTAACTGACACACCCCTACCGTGATGCTCCTGGGTGCTGTCTGCTGGAGAGGGTGTGGGAGGCTAGCCAGACTCTTCTGCTGTGTAATGGCCCTAGGAAATGACCCCAATAAACGCCCAGTGCCTATCTGGAACCCTGGGCTGTTCTTATGGGGGAGGTGGGGGTGTGGGATGTGGGGGAGGGAAGTGAGCAGATCTTGGCCCTAGGTCTTGTGATATCCCAAGGGAGGAGCAGGAGGAGCTGGGGATACACCATATGCCTGCCCGTGTATCTGAGAGCATCTGATAGCCAAGTTCATGGGACCTGCCCTGCACACGCCACTCTGGGTCTGGCCTGATCACAGGGGTTCCAAGGACCAGAAGGAGTGGTCCTCCAAGGAGTATCCCAGGGAGGCCCAGGCCCAGTCCCTGTGGCCACCTTCTCTCCCGAGGCTGCCCTGCCAGAAAGACTCAGACTTTGCTCTCACAGTGACTGCATCCTGTCTTAATGGGCAGACAAACAGCCCTCAAGGTGGAAACTCCTGGAGTGAGACCCTCATAGATGTTCCCATGTGGGACTCTCATCCCTGAACCCACTGCCTTTTGTGCCCAACTCCAGAGGGCATCACGCAAACACACACACAATACCAACCCACCATGCACACACCTTCCCCATTCCCCTCTGATACACACAACAACCCCACCAGACAACCTTAGCACAAGTCATGATCTCTGACACACCCTCCTCACAGCCAGGTCACTCAGGGCTGTACCCTCCCGTTCCCACCCCATCCCAGGTCTGCTCCAGTCCTGAGGGCACCACCCAAGCCAAAGGGTCACTCATGGTCACACCCACTTCCTCATGCCACATGTGTCCCAAGCCCCACAGTGGGGCTCCAGGCAGCCACCTCGACATTTCATGAAGACCAGCTGTGCTACCAGCTCTCTGCAACAGAGACCTTGGACCAGCCAGGCGCCCACTCTCCCCTCACAGGTTTCTCTGATAACTTTACCCTCCACTAGCCAAGTGCTCCTGTCTGCACCACACACACACACACACACACACACTCACCAGCCACACACAGCGAGCTTGTTCTGGGCCTTGGGTATGTGACTGGAGATGAGAAACCCACCCAGAGCAGGAGGTGAGTTTGATGCTAACTCCTGGGGACCAGAGTTGAGTGACAAACACCCTCAAAACACACATGCACATACCAGGCCCACCATTCAAACACAGTCCTGACCATCACAGTCACAGCAAACTTATCACACATAGACACATGCCACATGAATATATTACAAACCCATCACACACACAGAGAAACTAAACTACACATCCCATGTAAGCACACCACAATTACACACAACCTCAGCCCCATCGCATTTTTGTGCACAAAGCTCATCACCTGCACTTGTACTCTAGACCCATGATGTAAACACATGTACACCAAGTCACTCATACATGCACACACCAAATCCATCGCGCACATACACCAAGCCCATCGCAGACTCACACACATCCTAGATCTATCACATATGTGCCTATCAAGCCCATAGTATACACATCCTTGAGACCCCTTATGCAAACACACACTCACAATTTCATAATATACCAAACCCATCACACACATACACCAAGCCCATCACAGACTCACATACACCCTAGATCTATCACATATGTGCCTATGAAGCCCATAGTATACACACCCTTGAGACCCCTTATGAAAACACACACTCATAATTTCATACATATACCAAACCCATCACACACATATACACAAGCACCAGACCCCCACAAACAGCCAAAATCCTTCACAAAAACTAAAATCCCATCAGACACATATCCCAAACTATCATACCTGCAAACACATTCCAAACCTGTCACACCTACAAATGAGTATACACCACTCCCCCACACACACACACACACACACACACACACACACACACACGCACACAAACATACAATGCCCACCTGGTACACACACAAAGACCTAATAACACACACACACACACACACAGAGGCTCATGATATTCTCATATACACCCCAAGCTCATCAAATCCCACATAAACTCCATCATATATGTGTGTGCGCATGCACACGTGCCCTATAATGCACATGGCCACAGACCCATCACAAAAATGCACACCAAGCCTATAACATAAACACATACTCAATCTATCATGCAAGCACATGTAAACTCATCAAACACAAACATGTATGCACATACTAGCCCTGCCACACACTCATGTCCAAAGTCCATCAGACACACACCCCAAACCTATGACACGGGTGTATCTCAGACCCATCATACTTCACCACCCACAACAAACTCATCACACATGTACTCATCAGGCGAAAGTACACCCACACATTCCCCAGACCGATCACACACACAGACATCAAATACACCACACAGTCGAGTTGACTGCATCCATCACATGTAAACAAATACACACAATACACACATATACTCTCAAGCATGCACACAAGTGAAACCAAACTAAACCCACTGACATCAAGGTCATTTGGGCTCCTACAGACCCTCAAGAGGGTTTCTGAGACTGCACATTTTTATGGGAATGAACTGCCTCATCATTCTCCCACGGAGCAGTCATGGAAATAAACTGGTGACCTTCCAGTTAGCAGTCAGTCCTAAGACTCCTTCTCAAGCACAGAAGTACCCATCAAATGCACACGGGAAATTCAGGCACCCCACATACACACTGTTTACACAGACAGCTCCAAAGACATGCCAGCCCGGGCCCAGGCACTGAAATTCCCCCTTGTAGCCTGCAAATGTCTGGGCACTATGCATGCCCTATGAGCTGAGATCCCTTGAACCTTCATCTTCCCTATTCTCCCCACTGGGCCATGGACAAGAGGCCAGGGGAGACAGAGGGAAGGGCTTCCCCTGGCCTGGGAGAACCACCTATTGTTTGCCACCTCAGTCTGGCCCATGGAGAGAGGAGATAATTTGAGGGAAAAGGCAGGAGGAGGAGAGAAACGGTGAGGGTGCTGCTGTGGCTCCAGGGCTTAGGCCACCGTAGGAGGCCCACCTTCAAGGTGGGGCCACAGAAGGAAGAGGAACCATGCCAGTGTGGGTGGGCCATGACCCAGTCAATAGCTCTGGGCTTGCTTGGACCTAGCCTGAATGTTGATTCACCCACCCAGCCTTAGCTCCGTGTAGTATGAACCTCTGATATCATGAGGGACAGGTTCGGGTCCACAAAGATGCTGACTTGATGATTCATGGGGCCTGAGCCTGTCTCATGTCCTGAGTGGGTTGTGGTCTAAGATCTGCTCCTGAGGCAAAGGGAGCTGGCCTTGTGACTTTGCAGGGACCTGGGACTACCAATGGCAGAAGTGAGTCCACGTTGGATGAGGTGAGATGTATCAGAAGAAGGAATGGTTGCTCCTGGAAGCTATGTAGATGAAGGGACCACTGGCCCTAGTCCCCTGGTGCCATGGGGGGTGAGGGGCCCTTCTCAAGCAGGGGCCAGGGAGAGGCAGAGCTGGGGATGCGTGCAGGCAATCGATTCAAGGCGTCTAGGAAGGGGCAGAGGGAGGAGCAGTCAGAGGAGCCCAGTAACTCTGCCCAGCTTGAGATCCAGGGAATGAAGGCTGCTGGTTCAGGAGAGGACAAAGGGTGGGGACTGCTCCCACAGGCCCATGACCAACTGAAGTTCTGTGACTGTGGGTCTTCCAAATGGATCTCCTACTACCCTGAGCTCCAACCAGTGAGAAGCTTCACCACCTCCCACCCCTGCTCCCAATTAGGACATAAGACTCGAATCCTTGCTAACTCCTGGGAGGGACCTGGATCTTCCCTCCCCTATTACCATCTTGGGCCAAGACTAATTGGCTCATCTCCCCAGAGGTGGACCTTCAAGACCTGTGTGTGGAAGAGGATGAGAGCAAGGAGCTGGAGGAATTGTGGACCGGCACCTGCATCTTTATCACTCTCTTTTTGCTCAGCGTGAGCTATGGTGCCACCGTCACTCTCTTCAAGGTGAGGACACAGGGGAGGGCAGAGAGCAGAGAGCTGGTCTGATCGGCTGATCTCATCTCTGACCCCTTTGCAGGTACATTGGGTCTTCTCAGCTGTGGCCCAGAAGGAGCTCCAGGACTCCCATGATTACAGCAACATCCTGTAGCCAGTGGCCTGGATGGGGTGACCAAGCTGGTGTTGGCCAACTTGGCTGCTGATGCTGACCAAGGCCAGCAGCATTCCTTGGGGACCACACTCTCTCCACCTGTGTATGAGTAGAAAGGGGTCAACCACCCAAAGATTGCCCCCTCTTCCAAGGTGGGAGGAAGAGAAAGAGGAAGCAGCTGAACTCCCCAAGGGGGGCTCCTATAGACTATTTCCAGCCCCATGTCTCAATGAATCCACTGGGATCCTTTAATGATTCTACTTATCTCCCCCACTTGGAGCTAGGCTCCTGAGTGACCTGGAATGGTTGTGGGGGAGGGTCAGAGAGGAGGAGTGTTGATCACATCGGACTCCACCCAATCACTTTTTATCTAATAAACAACTGCCTGAACAGATGCATGTCCAGAACTCACAACCTAGACAGCAACCTACAGCCTACAACCTAACCCAGGATCCAGAGCCTACAGCCCAACTCAAAGCACAGAGCCAACCAAGGAACTCGAGGCCTGTCCTTGCATTATGTCCAGGGTACTTCCTGAATTCTCTGCCCACAGTTCAAAACCTGATTCCAAACCCAAATCTAGAGTCCAGAGCCAAACCTGGAGTCCAGAGCTCAGCCTAGTCCAAAATCAAGCTCCTGTTCTTCAGAATCTGTCAGGCATAGCTTTCTCTCAAGTCCATATCTCCTATACCCCTGTGACTACTCATCGCTCACCTTTCCCTTCCACCCACCATCCCTGCTGTCCATTTCTGGTGCAGTATCCCTGTGGATGGAGAAGACAAGGAAGTAATTCTAGAAAGTAGTCTTGTGACTATCCGGGGCTGTGGCATGGACCTGGGGTCGAGAGGCAGAGAAAGCAGCCCCACATGAAGAGGGAATTTCTGATGAGGTTCACATGGTGGCTACAAAGCTGCACCCACATCTTCTCCTAGACTTGGCAAATCTGTTTCCTTCTACTTGAGTTTCTTAGTAAAGTTCCCTTCCACAATTTGCCTGGTCACAAGAGCACACTTTGGGGAGGGTGTCTTCATAAATGGTATAAAAATAGGACAATACTCTTAATTGTCTCCCCATGACAATGGATTTCATCATACAGACAGAGTCCTCAGGAGAGCAAGTTTCACAGAAGGAGACCAAGTCATCATCAGCTGGAAGAAAATGTTCCCGTAATTAAAAAAGTGACAATAAGGAAATGTTGAGCTGTTAGGGCCATTTCTCAGGGTTAGTGGCCACATCCCTAGCACACAAGTGCCCAGTTCCTGAACTGACCTTGTAAGCCCACATATCCCTCAGTGGGAGACTCAACAGCATTGAGGCAGCTTAGTGAGCTCACAATGGGACTCTCAATCCATCCTCATCACACTGCACCGGGCGACTTGCACTAGACCACAGTCACTACTGTAGGAAAGCTTCCCAGCCTTGGAAAAGCTTACCTCTACCTGTTACACCTGACTGCTCACTTTCTCACCCAATGTCAACATTGCTGGGCATAAACTATGTAGGTCCTATGTGTGCCTTCATAACTCAACTATGCATATATGGATGGATGGATATTGATATGGTTGGATGACAATGGAAGGGTGGATATATGGATGTTTGGGTCAGCTGGTGTATGTACAAAAGGTTGGATGGATGGATGGATGGATGGATGGATGGATGGATGGATGACTGATGCTGAATACAAGCATGCGTGGATTGATGGATCACTTTATGGACTGGTGTTGTGTTGTAGAGGGATGACTGTCTAGTTGAATGAATGGGTAGTGGTTTGGATAGATGAATGGATGGTCAGATGTATGTATGTGGGGCAAGGCTATGCCTTGGAACTTAGCACAATCTGGACCTGCAGGCCGCTGAGACAGGTAGAGCTCTCTGATGTGGATGGGTCCCAGACAGCTGCCCATCAGTTTGGTGGGGGAAGAGTAACCAAACTTCATGGCCGTTACTGAGGGGCAGCAGCTACAGCTCTAACCACATAAGCTCAGGGCTCATTCTCCATCACCCTGAAGGTCTCCCTGAGTGTCTTCCCTGAGGCTTTCATGCCAGAAGCCCTGTCCTTCTGTGCCCCTGCCTCAGTTAGTTCGTGCCCATTAAGGTAGGACAAGCCCTGTCCCTTTTGTGCTCCCTTCCTCTCTTGATCCTCTTGGAATCCTGTTCCACATTTGCTCAATTTCTCTATATCCATCTTTGGGCCTATTTCTGTCTCTCAGACTCTGTATTTTCATTTCACCTTCCTGACATGTATCCCCAACCCCATCCTGTGGTCAGCGACCTGGATCATGTTCCCATCATTCCCCTAGCCTCCAATTCACACAGCCTCAGGGCAAGGCAGGATCGTGGGGTGGGGCTGGGGGGAGGGCCATACAGCCTGGGCCTCACACACCTGGCCCTGCCACAGCCAGACCACAGACCAGACATGACGTGGAGGTGTGGCCACGTCTGCTGGAACAGGAAGTCAATGAGTGACCACACTGATCCAGACATACAGCCACACAGGCCCTCCCCAGCCAACCTCTCCCTGTAGATACAGACCCAATATCACCCCAACTAATTTCACCTAGTCCAGCACAGGGCAGAGATGTTCACTGAAGCCACATGGCCACAAGGGAAGAGCCTGGAGAAAGTTTGGGCCTCACACCCCCTTCCAGCCACCTCTGAGGTGGGCCAGCTGAGGGTTATGGGAATGAACCTGCAGTGTGGGCGTTTGCCTGGCCAGCAAGATGCCAAGGTCCCTCTCAGCAGAAGGTGAGACCCTTCAGCAACCTTAAGCAGGTGGGTCCCAAAAGCTCTTGGTTCTCTTTCTCCACCTCTACATAATGAGACCTCTGTGTAGCCTTGGCCAGCTGGTCCACAGCCTTCTTGAGGCAGGAGGATGAAGGGCACCCAGACCAGACACACCAATGGAAAGAAGGCAGGAAAGGTTGTGGAGATCCAGGAAGACCATAGGGCAGGTGGGTGTGAGAGGAGAGTCAAAGCTGGGTAGGGATGGCCTGAACCGTGTCTAGATACACAGGGAAGAATGTGACTGAATGAGCTGGCCTGGACACAGGGCTGAGTTCTGTCTGGTTGGACTGGACACTGGGCTGATATTGGTAAAGTGAGGCTGGTGTGAGCTGTGGTGTGCAGAGCTGACCAGGAAAGTTAGCTAGACTCCTAGAATGGGCTGAACTAGGCAGGTGAGCTGAAGTGAACTGAGCTGGATCAGACTGAGCTAAGCTGGATTGATTTGAATGAGGTGGTGGAGCTGGACTGGGGTGAGCTATATTGATTGGAGCTGGGCTTACGTAGGCTCAGCTGAGCTCAACTTGGCTAGTGGGACTGGGCTAGGCTCTTCTGGGCTGAAGTGGGCTAACTAGACTAAGCTGAGCTAATTGAAGCTAGACTAAGCTGAGCTGGGCTGAGCAGCACTGGTCTGGGGTGGACTGTCCTGGTTTGAGCTGAATTTGGCTGGGGTGAGCTGAGCTGGGTTAAAATGAGGTAAGCTGTGCTAAGCTGGGCTGTCATGGCTAACTTTGGAGTGAGTTGAAATGATCTATAATGGACTGAGCTGGGCTAGCCAGGCAGAAGTGGATTAGGTGGATGGGTTTTGCTGGGGAAAGTTGGGCTAGGCAAGGCTGAGCTGGGCTAACTAGGTTTAACTTGACTGGCTGAGCTGAGTCTTCCTGGAGTGAGCTGGGTTAGGTTGAGCTGGGCTGGGCTGTGTTGGGCTGGCCTGGATTGGACTGGGCTGAGCTGAACTAACTGGATTTGGCTGGGGTGGACTGAGCTGGAATACTGGACTAGCTCAGCTGAGCTGGGCTTGCGTAGAGTAAGCTGGGATCATGGGGCTGAACTGGACTAGCTAGACTGAGCTGAGCTGCATTGAACTTGGCTAGCTGGGTTGAGCTTGGTTCTGCTAGATAGAGCTGGGGCAGCTGAACTGGACTAGTTGGACTGGGCTGAATGGAGCTGAGCTGATTGGGTTGGGCTGGGCTAGGCTAGTTGAGATAGCTGGGCTAAATTGGACTAGCTGAGCTGGGTTCAGCTGGGGTGAGCTGGAGTGGGCCGAGCTGGCATAGCTGGGCTGAAATGAACTAGCTAGACTGAGCTGAGCTGAGCTGACGGGGTTTGGCTGGGGTGGACTGGGCTGGGAAGATCTGGGTTGAACTGGACTAGCTGAGTGGGGTTTGGCTGGGATGGACTGGGCTGGGCTGATCTGGGTTGAGCTGGACTAACCGAGCAGAGTTTGGCTGGGGTGAGCTGTGCTGTGCTGGGCTGAACTGGACTAGTTGGCCTGAGCTGAGCAGACTGGTTTGGCTGGGGTGGACTGG